AGCGTCTTGTTCGCCTATCCTGTTGGGTGCATTGTTTGCCTTGCTTCCTCCACCAACAAAAACGTCTGTCGCGGTGTTATCAGAACGAGGGTACTTTTCGTAGTAATAGAAGCGGCTTTCTTTGGTGTGATTAGAAGGAAAGGCTGATAACCTCGGGAGATAATGGTCTTGTACTGGTCTCTTCCAAGTTCAGCTTGACAAGTAAAGAAGAAGAAAAGAATCCGTACCTCAATTACTCCCAGCGCAGGATCGAAACCCTCACCAGTTTCACCATTACTGAGCTTTCCAATGCGGTATCACCCGTACTCATAGTTCTCAGCAATCCAGGGAGGATTTTGGCTGACTACCTTGAACTAGGGTCAAATAGACCAAATCCTAGTGCTTGTGCCATATACATTCTACTTCAACTGCCCATTAGCCTGGGTTTATACCCCCAGCAGACGCACCTTCCCAGAATACGCATCTTCCTAGAAAGGAAAGTTCATTACTCTTATACCTTTGCGAGAGTTTCAAGTATCCTAAAACCATGAATACCTGCCGTAGGAACTGAGGATCCCAGCACTCTGTTGTCGAGTAGAAGGGAGAGGTTAACCTTTCAATTGCCAGATGGGTACATTAGGTCATGTGGTTGTGCGAACATGTTTCCTATATAGTCTTGTCCTCTAGTTTAGCTTCATTTTCGAGATCCTTTCAAGTGTTGGAGATAGAAGATGTGAGGTCAAAACAAACGCGATAACTGACGTCATATGTTTCAGAGGCAAGTATCAGATTCGGATATCGCTTTCGAAGTCAACTTGAATATCTTGAAGATCAGCATTCATGTTACAAAGGACAAAATCTAGATTCATTCTCCAAAAGCTTCTGGGGTCCATAGTGGTCTTTCGAGTTTCTATTTCAATACTTGAGGATCTATAGCTATACAACCTCGTACAACTACATATGTGACAAAGATTATTGTACGGGCCTCCAAACCACATATGTTATTGTAAAAGATGTACTATCCTAGGTGGGTAGATAGTTGTAGGTAGAATGGAGACCTTCCAAGTGCCACTCCACACGTCATCATGATGAACCCCCCCCCCATGACCGGTTTAGCTGGTAACGTCAGTTGATTTCAGGAATAAAAAGAGTATTGTTCCTTCAATTCTCCATTCAAATACAAACATTCTACATCCAGCACTAAAGTCATCCCAAACACAAGTCAGTAATGTCAAGATTGCCATATCTTATTCATTTCCTCTGAAGCTCACCCCCATCCCCCTTTAGCACATCAAATTCAATTCTACATTCACAATGTCTGCTCCTTACCCCGGCCGCCAATCCCCCTCTCCGGAGCGCCAATCCGGTGCCCAGCAGCAGGATACCCCCGGCTCCGGCAGGACCAATGTCGGCAAACCTCCAGCACACGAGCCCTCGAAGCGATCGTCAGAGGATTTCAGGGACAATGTGTTGACGAGCAACCCCGAACACCCACTAGAGAAGATTGAGGCGGAAAAGTTCGCCAAGGGAAAACAACATTGAGACGGAATATTTCTTGCATGTACTTGGAAAGGGTCCTGTTTTTAAATTTTGGGTAATGATATCATGAAGAATAAGCTCAAATAACCATCCTCTTTTTGAGCTTTGTACTTAGTAAAATAATACATCCATTCTCCAGAGTGAAATCAATCTTTATGTCCATTTGCTTTGCTTATTGGATACTTATCAAAAAGGCTCGCTTGTAGCAAGAGCCCGAACATCAGGTTATCACACAGGCAGAAAGAAAAATAAACTATGGACATGGCATGGCATCATAAGGGAAAGGATAAAGCAATAGACACAAACGCCCAGCACAAATATTCATCTCCACATTAAGTTAAGACCTCTTTCCAAGGATTCCTTTACACCTTCTCAGAAGGGGCAGCGGCAGCCTCAGGCTGAGCAGGGGCAGCAGGGGCAGCAGGGGCAGCAGGAACAGGCTCAGCAGTAGCGGCAGGTGTAGCCTCACCGCTCTTACCCTGCTTCAGATCCGCCAGACGGCGAGCCTCGGCGTGGATATCGCGCACCTGCTTATCGGTCTGAACATAGAAGTCACGCAGCTTCTGGCCGGAGGGGTGCTCCAGGGCCTTCTCAAAGTAGGAGCTCAGGCCGCGCCAGCCAGAGGCCGCCTTATTGGAGATTTGGTAGTTCTCATCGATGCCCTTGGCGCGCTCGGTGGCATTGTACTTCTTATCGAAGTTGGTGAGTGCCGAGGTGAAACGGCTCGAGACTCCGTGCTTCTGGTCCAACTGGATCGCCTTCATGATCGCATTGTCGCTCACCACGTACCCGTGTGCCAGGTACTCTGCGACAATACGCGATCGGGGCTTGTCTTCCTGTGCGATGTGGTGCTCTTCATCTTTGGTCTCGCTGCCCGCGCGGGTGTCTTGGGCTCCGGCTAGGTCTTCAATGTTGTGAGCTGCTTCGACATGCACGGCAGAGGTGCCTAGTTGGGTCTGGTCTAGGAGGAGAGCAGTCTTGGCAGCACTGTTTTCAGGGGGATTGGGTTAGTCTGCGGGAAATATTGAAACTGGGTGCGGGGTAACTTACGCTTCCTTTTCGAAAGTCACAGTGGCGGACTTGGGAGCATCGGCATCCCCAGAGACGGGGGTAATGGAGAGGCTGACAATTTTTCCACTGTTCAAGTTAGCGAGTTGTCATATATAGTACTGATTGTGACGTACCAGAAGCTGAAGAAGTCGCGAACCTCCTTCTCGGAGGTTGCTGACGAGATGCCAGAAACGTGAACAGTGGCGTGAGACATGATTATTTTAGAGAAGAAAGAATAGTTAGAGAGATATTTAAAAGTCACACGATTTCCCAGGTGGTGATGCGACTATTTATCTAACAAGGACCTCCTGCGCCACAAGTGACTTTATGACGTATGGCGGGGCTATTGCACCGCCTCACGTAGCTAATTTTTTTGGTTTTCTTCCGGTTTCGTCTTGGTTTCTGTTTAATTGGACATTTTCAATATTTTCAATGGAGCTGCCTAGAAAATAGATTCACATGTCAGGATTTCTATGAATGTGTTTGCCTGGAAACCTCCCATGAAAATGTTGGGCACTGCCTCCACGGTGCCAATGCGAAAGAATGATATTGAAATTGACATTGAATCAGGCATTAATGATTCTTTCGGACGGTGTGGTAGAAGCATCACTTGCTGAGTCCTCCTTTTGTCTCTTTAAAGTCTGCTCCAGATCCCGCACGCGCCTCCTGAGCTGTTCGTTCTCCCGCTTCATGTATTCCACCTCCAGCCTGTGATGTGTGGCCTCCTCAAACCGCGACAGTGAGTTTCCAGGTGAATGACCTAGCTGGGTCTGTGATACCGAGTTCCGATGTGGGTATACGATGCTATTGTTGTGGGAGAACGAGGATATTGACCCGATGGAGGGTCGGCGAGATGTGATGGATGGCTCGCGGCTGCGAACCGTTCGAGAATGGTCTGCCGGGCGATATGGTATCTCTCGTGAGGGAGCAATTCCAGTGACACTTGCAGACTGTGGGCCCTGGTTTGAGCTGATGCTGGAATTGGACCGGTTCCGTCGGGCGGAGTGAGACTGGTTTGAGCTGCTGAGGGTGGGTGATGCCCGTGCACCATCTGCCTCGTTAAAGGTCGAGGTGGATGATGCTGTCGATGCCACGGATGCCGTCTGCTGGCGGAGAATAGATAGCTCTCGGGTCAATCGATTCACCTGCGGAGAGTTTTGATGCGTCAGCGGTTGAGGGGTAGATACACTTCGGCGTTCTGGAATCCCACTTACCATCGCTTCTTGCTCCTTTTCAAGCACTAGATGGAGATCCGAAGGTGTCAGCGGCTGAGGATGACGCAATGGCCCTTGTTCTGTTAGTCGGCGAGCTCAACGAAATGACGCCTGCCGCTGTGAACTTACCCTGGGCCGTACGTGTGATGCTATAATCCCCTGTTCCGAGTGGTGGACTTCCTGGAGGCGGGAATGCTACAGATGTATGAAAACCTTGTACTGGTTGTCGGGGTGTGGGAGGCTGCGACGCCATAGCGGGTGCCGTTGTTGCGGCACGAGGTCGTGACATATTAGAGTGGGAAGTAGCACTCAAGTCGGGAGCCATGGCTATCAGGTATGTTGATATTGCTTAGCGGTTTGTTTTTTCCACGCCTGCAATCGGCGTGTGAGTCGAGTTAACTGAACTATAAGTGTTTCAGCCTTGGGATAAGTCAGATCTTGGTCTGGAATTATGAATCAAAACACCCCTTGATGCAAATTCCAGGGGAACATTCGAAACATACCAGTTATGGAGGGGGATCAAATACCTCCTTTCGACAGGGAAGAGAATTGAGAAAGGTAGGAAGAGAGAGAAATCTGAGAAGTTGGGCTTCTCTCTTGCCATGAGATGTTTTATCCTTTGTCGCTTTGATTGGGCCGTGCACGTAATCTGTACATCTACTGGATGTACATGTACATAGCTCTAGAGATAAAACAGTGGCTTTCCATGTTGTAGAGCATCTACGCCCTTGAAGGAAAAGCTGACACACTACAGGTACTATGTGCTAGTTGTCTTATGGCACAATCTACAGATATATCTCTGTTGATATACTTACATTGTACTCCGTACAAATGATAGATGGTACGGAATAGAGATAGTGCTCGGGCCCCTTTTGGGGCATATTGGATGTCTCAATTGGAGCTATCTAGTAAATTGAGCAATAATCGAGTCAATTCATTGATCGGTATCTCCAACCTCCTATAAGGCCCAATAAACATCATATTCGATATAAGATATCATAGATGCTCGACTGCATAGCAAAACAATAAAGCTCCACCTCGGGATGATCTGCATGTTACATAAGCGAACCAGTGGACGAACCTCAAGAGCCAAACAACTTCGGTCTCACAATATCACTGTTGTGGCAGTGAAGTCTTCCGAGACCTGTCGGGGTCTCAGCTTGTCTCTCCAGATATCTTAGCTTGCATAGCCCTCCAAAACCCCCGCCTAATGAAACCATGGTCCGACCTAGCTCCCCTGACGCTACCCACATTCCACCCTTTATGAAACAGCTCGCTCCTTACGTCAAGTCGCGCGAGGAAACCCTTCATATCCGCCAGGCGCTGACGTCTTATCTGCGCTCATTTATCGAATTCGACGATCAGTCAAGCGATCTTTCTCAATCCCACCTCTCCCTGTGTGCGTCGACTGATGCTGTTACCGATGTCAAACGTATTCCTATCGACCTCCCTGGGCTAAGAAAGGATTATCTAAAGGCATTGGCCGCCAATGTTGCAGCACGCAAAGAGTTTGCCTTGACGTCTGAGAATGTCGCCTCGTTAAGGCGCCAGAAGGCGTCCCCAAACCGCCCTTCTGATGATGATCTGCAAGAGCCCGGCACCGAACTTCGTGAATACCTTGCCCTTCTACGCGATCGACGCCGCCATACCAAGCTGCAGGTGTTTCAGAATTATCTTGAGGAAATTAAAACGCGCGATGCGGGCAGCTTGGACGACGTTGGCAATGACGAGGAGCAAATGCTGTTGCCGGAGGTAGATGCAGAGGCGGGACGCAATGGCACCGAAACGGACTTGGATGAACTAGTGCATAGCCTTGAGAGAGCAGTTGTCCGCGCAAGAACGCAATTGGACCATCAAAAGCAATTGTTCGAGAAAGCCAAGGCACAGCATGATCCCCGAGCCGAGACTTCAGGTGCCAAAGCACGAGCATTACAAAAGACCCGCGATGAGCTAGTACAATGGGTGGAGGAGCGGCTGGTTGGTCAAGGGGATCCGGATGAGAGTCTGCTCCAAGAACTTCCTCCGGGGGAAATCGAGGATGCCCAGCGGGGGCTAGAGAATCGCAAGATACAGATTACGGAGCAATATGCCGCATATCTTCGAGCCCGACGAGATCTACTCGACGCCGCCTCCAGAGCTTGTCAGCCAATTAATGTGACCCCGAAGCCTCCGTCGCGATCAACCAACAAAAACGAACTCGTCATGGCAGAAATACCACCACCCAACCCAATCGACGTTCTGTCATACACAAACGAAAACCTAATCCCGCTAATCAAGAGTCAAAAGTCGCTGGCTCTCCAGAAGACCTACTTGTCCGGTTTACTTTTGAAAGAAAAGTCCACGACACTCCGCGCCCTCAATCGTCTAAGCGGCGAATCCCACCTTCTTCCCGAATACCCCACTCCCGCCCGTCAGCCGCGCTTTAAGCATACCGCTTCTGCTCTCGACTTGCGAACCCAGATCCCGACCTCCGATCAGACCCCAGATGAGGTTGTTGGTCTTGCCGAAGCCTGGGCATTTGCCTCTAATGCTGCTGCTGCCAACGAACGAGATTTTGTTCACCAAAAGATCTCATTGGGTACTGAGGTTGCACAGGACGCCCGACAGACCCTGACTGATATATGTAAAACCCTCAATCAGGACCTCGATGATGTCATGCTGGAGGGTCGGGAGAATCTCTCCGCGGAGGGGATGTCGAGGAGTGGGTCTCGGATTGAAAAACAACTAAGTGGTCCTTGGTCAGGTCTGAATGGGAGAGTGGGAGTTGTAGAATAAATGTACTATGTTTTATCTAATGTAATGGTTTTCAATGTATAATACATATAATATACCCTGTTTGTTTCGGCTCAATCCGGCTATGTTGGTAATTTGATGTTGTAGCTTGTAGCTCAGAGGTTATTTTATTCCGCTATCGAGCCGTGCAGAGATCATCGAGGATCATCATTATGTATAGTAATGTGGTTCAATTCTAGCGGGATACTTGACATGTAAGTTTCCATATAGAGTTTGTCTCCGTAAGTTTTTCGGCACAACGATTGAGCGTATATGGCTGTGACAGCTAAATATATATATAACATCAAAATAACTGCACATTGGACGTTCTGCTGCAAAAGAGCAACTCTCTCAATTTTATTGTCTTTATTTACAATACTTGACCTAAGAGATCAGCATGTATCCAAAATCAACCAAAGCTATCTATGTACAAAGTATATATTTAACCAAGACCCATGGACTGTCCGATAAATCCTCCCACGTTCTCGCAGCCATCAAAACGCTGGTAGTTCTCACCGGACCCATCTGTATCGACCATAATACACCAGTAGACGATGACATTCCCCTCCATTTGCCATTCGCTTTTGGGTGAATCCGTGAAAATCACTGCTACCAGCTTATGTTCATCCCAGCCGTATAGGATCTGATACCAGCCTTGTTTTAGTCCATACCCAAACTGATCCATGAATCTATCTGGCATTATATGAAAGATTTAACAGGCACAGTTCTAAGATTCATGTATTCCAAGGTTGGAGCAGGGAAGTAAAAAGGGGTAAACTATGCAGAGACTTGTGATTGATTAATGGGTTTATTGTGGACCCACCTAATTAATATAGATCCATGGATGTGGCTTTCTTCCCCAAGGTTCCAAGGCTTAATGCGCTTATATAGTTAAGAAGGGACTACTCTGTAACTAACTACATCACTTTTGACGATTCCAGGACCTGTCGCTATTTGTGATACTCTTCTTCTGTGCTGAATTATGAAGCTTAGTATGGGTACAAAAACCTCGGTTCCCTCTTCGGTATCTACCAATGCAATGGATGACCACCCTCATATTCCTCGTGGTCTCCCAGAGTGTATGTTACAAAATATGGGGTTCTATCATCATCCGGTCTTGTACGTCTCCATTTCTAGACCCAATTCCCCCATGTTTTGCAACTCTCATCATGTGTTTTATAGGATCATGCCTTGTCTCCTCGCATCTCCTTATGTGGTAGTTGATCCTATCTGTCGTCAATATTGTGATGCCGCTTCATGTCGCTATTATCGTTTCAACCTTTTCTCTGTACTCATACTTTTATTCTTGTTTATTGTTTACCGGGCGTTAAACCGAAAAGATAACCTCCCCACGATACCTACAACAGAGAGGCGGCAACAAGAGGGGCAAGCAGAGAAAGGTTCGATCTAACATCAGAATGCAATGTTGCCTACATATGTATGTATCACGTTGCTTTGCCCTATACTGTAATTGACAGGTTGCAGTCAGACAAACTCGAGATTGGATATCGAAAATACCGAATTCTATGGTCTCTCAAATTGGCGACGGACTTATATCGGTCTGTTAGATTTACGCCCTCCACTTTAGACCTAACGAATCTGGTCTAGTTTGAGGTTCTTTATTATATTTGTTGTAGAATGGGGTATAGAGGCTTGAATGACTTGATTTAGATATCAGAATGTGCGATCGAAAGAACTAGCCCGATTCGCAGGTCGACAAAACATTCATTGGTGAAATTGGGGAATTCACCCACCAAACAATATTCAGGCTGCCACTAAGACCCCTAATGATTTACAAAACCACTCGTCTTTGAGAATGCTGTGATCATCTACTTGGTTTTTTTTCTAGTCTTCTTTCGATGCCTTGGTAGGTGGTCCTTGAAGCTCTAACTAGCTGAACTCAGAAGTCGCTGCAATATCAATCTAACTCTTCTAGCAGCCACAATCCGCATCTCGAAATACATATAAACCGACACTAAACGTCACCGTATAAGCGTAACGCATCAATATTCCATTTTTCATCCCCAGCCTGACTACGGACTAAATTCAACCACTTGTTCGACCGCCTTCCAGGTCTTACACCCTCATTGATCTCATATTCATGCCGATTCGTTCCATGTTGATGCTTGGGGATTAGACATTGCCGTACTAATTATGTAGCGTGTAATATTTCAAGGTTGAAGTGGAGAGATAAGAGATAGGGTTAGCTCCGGCATCGGCATGTACCAGGTAGATCAGTATGATGTTTCTTGTTGGAATCCAATTGCCTGCTATACACTCTATAACTTCTATATGAATGACAATGTAGATGTGACCATTGAGAATTACCAGGCTCTATTTATTTACAGGGGTAGTATACATAATAAAAGATATTTGCCGAGGGAACCCCGTCTCCACATTCAAATTTTGACTCATCGCTGTCAAAAAAAAAAAAAAAAAATATTTTAAAAAGGGGAAGAAAGAAGGAAATATAAAATCAACTAACCGACCTCTTATTAAACTATTTACATTAATTATTAGATCCTCGAGGTCTGTACAATCCCCAATTTTCCCAATTATCCCCCGGCTTTCCCTCGTTGTTCAAAAGTGGAGCCGTATACGGTGAAGGGAGCGAGCCAATTAGCGACTGAGTGGCGGAAAAAAAGAATCCCAGCAAAGCGTAGACTCATCCTCAACACATCTCTCAGCAATTGAAACATTACCTTCGGTGCGCAATGGTTCTTGCTGCTCGATGTGGGCAGGCGGCCGCCCTGCTGCGCCAGCGCTGCATCGCTGAAACTCGTCCAGCACTCTCTCTGCGCGCATTCTCATCTCAGTCCGTTCGTTCGACGGTCTCGACTCTACGCCTGCAGAAGATCCCCACGGCTCGGTCTCAACAACTCCGTTCTTTCTCTAGCACCTTGAACCGTCTTTCTACCGAGAAGCCCCCAGCCGCCGAGTCTTACCTCGCTAGCGGTGCCGTGGCGACCGGTAGCAAGCTCGTCGATGTCAAGAAGGTCCTCGTCATTGGTAGTGGTGGTCTGAGCATTGGACAGGCCGGAGAATTCGATTATTCTGGTAAGTTGGAACCACTTGGAGATGAAATTTTCGTGCCGATTAGAATACCCCGTCAGTCCCCCATGGGGGGTCTGCACGGGGATTTTTTGTGCGGGGAATACAGAGCTTAAAAACGACACCTAAGAATCAATTTGAATGACAACAGTAACTAATTTCTTGGCTGTGGGGTCAAACAGGCTCTCAGGCTCTTAAGGCTCTTAAGGAAGCCGGCGTCCACTCAATCCTGATCAACCCCAACATCGCGACCATCCAGACCGACCACAAGCTTGCGGATGAAGTCTACTACCTCCCCGTCACCCCTGAATATGTTACCCACGTCATTGAGCGCGAACGCCCCGATGGTATTCTTCTCACCTTCGGTGGTCAGACCGCCCTGAACCTGGGTGTGCAAATGAACCGCATGGGCACCTTTGAACGCTACGGTGTCAAGGTTCTCGGTACCCCCATCAAGACCCTGGAGACCAGTGAGGACCGTGACCTCTTCGCACAGGCCTTGAACGAGATTGATATTCCTATTGCCGAATCGACCGCCGTCGAGACTGTCGAGGACGCTCTTAAGGCTGCCGAGGAGGTTGGTTACCCCATCATCGTCCGGTCTGCTTACGCCCTCGGTGGTCTGGGTTCTGGCTTCGCTTCCAACGCCGATGAGCTCCGTGACTTGTCCTCGCGCTCTCTGTCTCTCTCCCCCCAGATTCTGGTTGAGAAGTCCCTCAAGGGCTGGAAGGAGGTTGAGTACGAGGTTGTCCGTGACGCTGATAACAACTGTATTACCGTTTGCAACATGGAGAACTTCGACCCCCTCGGAATTCACACCGGTGACAGTATCGTTGTTGCCCCTAGTCAGACTCTGTCTGATGAGGAGTACCACATGCTCCGCACTGCTGCTATCAAGATTGTCCGTCACTTGGGCGTCATTGGCGAGTGCAATGTCCAGTACGCTCTGCAGCCCGATGGCCTCGACTACCGTGTCATTGAGGTTAACGCTCGTCTTTCGCGTTCGTCCGCTCTGGCTTCCAAGGCGACCGGTTACCCGCTTGCTTACACCGCCGCCAAGATTGGTCTGGGACACACTCTTCCCGAGCTTCCTAACGCCGTTACCAAGACCACCACCGCCAACTTCGAGCCCAGTCTGGACTACGTTGTCACCAAGATTCCCCGCTGGGATTTGGCCAAGTTCCAGCACGTCAACCGCGACATTGGCTCCGCCATGAAGTCGGTTGGTGAAGTTATGGCTATTGGTCGTACCTGGGAGGAGTCCCTACAGAAGGCCATCCGTCAGGTTGATCCTCAATACCTTGGTCTCCAGGGCGATAAGTTCGATGACCTTGATGAGACTCTCCGCAACCCCACTGATCGCCGCTGGTTGGCCGTTGGCCAGGCTATGCTCCACGAGAACTACTCAGTTGACAAGGTCCACGACCTGACAAAGATCGACAAGTGGTTCTTGTACAAGATCCAGAACATTGTGGATTGCAACAACGAGCTCAAGGAGATCGGCAGCCTTTTCGGCCTCAAGCAGGAGATCCTGATGAAGGCTAAGAAGCTCGGTTTCTCCGATAAGCAGATCTCTCTCCTTGTTGGATCCACCGAGGATGATGTCCGTGCCCGCCGTAAGTCCTTCGGCATCACCCCTTGGGTCAAGAAGATCGATACTCTTGCTGCCGAGTTCCCTGCCGATACCAACTACCTCTACACCACCTATAACGCTTCCTCACACGATGTTACCTTCGATGACCACGGAACTATCATCCTTGGCAGCGGTGTGTACCGTATTGGTAGCTCCGTTGAGTTCGATTGGTGCGCTGTTAATGCCACTCTCTCCCTCCGCGAGATGGGCAAGAAGACCGTTATGATCAACTACAACCCCGAGACCTATTCCACTGACTTCGATACCGCTGACAAGTTGTACTTCGAGGAGCTCAGCTACGAGCGTGTCATGGATATTTATGAGCTCGAGGCCGCTAGCGGCGTCGTCGTCTCTGTCGGTGGTCAGCTGCCTCAGAACATTGCTCTCCGTCTGCAAGAGAGCGGTGGTGCTACTATTCTGGGTACCAACCCTCTGGACATTGACAAGGCCGAGGACCGTCACAAGTTCTCCTCTATTCTCGACAGCATTGGTGTCGACCAGCCCGCCTGGAAGGAACTTACCTCTGTCGCTGCTGCTGAGACCTTTGCCGACACTGTTGGTTACCCCGTCCTGGTTCGTCCCAGTTACGTCCTGTCCGGTGCCGCCATGAACGTCATCTACAGTGTCGATGAGCTCAAGGAGAAGCTCCTCAACGCTGCCGCCGTTTCCCCCGACCACCCCGTCGTTATCACAAAGTTCATCGAGGGTGCCGAGGAGATCGATGTGGATGCCGTCGCTTCCAACGGTAAGCTGCTTATCCACGCCGTCTCCGAGCATGTCGAGCCCGCTGGTGTTCACTCCGGTGATGCCACCCTCGTCCTGCCTCCCGCCAACATCGAGGAGCCCATCATGGCCCGAGTCAAGGAGATCGCCGAGAAGGTCGCTAAGGCCTGGAACATTACTGGCCCCTTCAACATGCAGATCATCAAGGCCAACCAGGAGGGTGCCGAGCCCGCGCTCAAGGTTATTGAGTGCAACCTGCGCGCCTCCCGTTCCTTCCCCTTCGTCAGCAAGGTCCTGGGTACCAACTTCATCGACGTTGCCACCAAGGCTCTCGTCGGCCGTGATGTCCCCGAGCCCGTTGATCTCATGAAGGTGAAGCGTGACTACCTCGCCACCAAGGTTCCCCAGTTCTCCTGGACCCGTCTGGCTGGTGCCGACCCCTTCCTGGGCGTCGAGATGTCCTCCACCGGTGAGATTGCTTGCTTCGGTAAGAACCTGGTCGAGGCCTACTGGGCCTCCCTCCAGTCCACCATGAACTTCCGCATGCCTGAGCCCGGTGAGGGTATCTTGCTCGGCGGTGATATCACCCAGCCCTACCTGGCCAAGATTGTTGAGTACCTGAACCCTCTGGGCTACAAGTTCTTCGCTGTCAACTCCGAGGTCAAGGCTCACCTCGAGTCTGCCAAGGACGTCTCCGTGCAGGTGATTGAGTTCCCCAAGAAGGACAAGCGTGCTCTCCGTGAGGTGTTCCAGAAGTACGACATCCGTGGCTGCTTCAACCTTGCCAAGACCCGTGGCAAGACCCAGCTGGATGACGACTATGTCATGCGTCGCAACGCTGTCGACTTCAACGTGCCTCTCTTCATGGAAGCCAAGGTATGTTTAATGTGATGATACCCCATAATGGTTCAAGTTACTAACTGATCCTCTCTACAGACTGCCCAGCTTTTCGCTCAGTGCATGAGCGAGAAGCTCCCCCGCACCGAGGGAATTCCCTCCGAGGTCCGCACCTGGTCCAACTTCGTCGGCGGCAAGGCGCTGTAAATCTCCATTTCTTTTTGCACAAAGTGACAGATGAAGAGAAACAAAAGCCCCCACCATGTCGAGGTAAAGAGAGACAGGAAGTCAATATCTCTTTCCGCTCGATATCCCCCTATGACCTCCCCAGGCCGTCCCGTCATGATTTTCCAAGAACAGGATCTAAGCTTCCTGTATGGTGTAGTGGGTAGGGCAATCTTGTTGATAGATGGCGTGCATTGTCTTTTCGGCCTTTTTAATTACTGTACTCTCGGATTTACTGTACTCTCGGATTGGAATGTCTTTTCCTTATGAATCATTGAATTGTTCCCCATCTCTACTCTACTGGCGAATCAACGCCTTATATGCCCCTGATATACGAATTTGACCTCTAAGATCCCTTCTCCGTATTCTGTAGTCTGTGCATATTCAGGGTCCATGAGGGCAGATTCAGGGGGCTAACAGAGCTTGAGCCTCCTTGTGGGCCCCAATTACAAGATGTCTCACTTGGGCTCTGGTAGGAAAATTTGCCGACGCTTGTAGCCAATCGTAATCTAAGGCTTCATTTATCCTTTAGCCTTTATTTTTCCTGGTCATTACCTTTTAACTTCATTTTCAACCTACATAGCATACGGTCTTGACTGGTACAGGTCACAACCCTAGGTATTCAAAGTCTACGGAGTACTCCAACTGGGGGGTTTGATCTTGAGCTAAATTACATGTCAGCGCTAGGCTCCAATGAGTACATTATAGCGCTAGTATACGAGCTATGCATTTGGTTTTCGGAACTCTGTGACTCTTGTCGGGGAGCCCTATTGAGGCTAGTCGCGATGCAGAGTGATTTTGTCTTTTTTTTTTTCACCTGCTTCCTGACTCCTCTTCTGCCCAACCCCATTTCTCTCTGTTCTAACACTGACAACCCTCATCTTCGAATCTCGCAAACATGCGCTCGTCTTGGCTCCTCGTTTCTGCCCTAACAGCTCTGGCTGCAGCTGATGAGGCCGGCACAACAGTCATCAACTATTTCGGAGTCGAAAGTGCTATTAACGGCGTCGCCCTCGGCGGCTACACTAGCACCGCAGCCCGAGTTGTTGCCGTCGGCAAGCACGCCACGACCTACGAGATCGCCTGCCTGAAAGACGCTTCCGAATGCGCATTGCACCATCCTGCAACTATTGTCCAGGGCCCTACCACTTACAGCGCCTCTATCGAAGCAACTGTGTCTACTGGCGGTGCTCAGGCTGTTGCAACCGGCATTGAGCAATGCAGTTTCACCCACGCTTCTGAGTCTGCTGTCTGCACGTGGAGTGTCGCATACACTGCCTCCCAAGGTGATCTCACCATTTCCGATTCCACCTCTAGCACACAATCCATCCCTGCGTCTTCGGTTAGCTATCATCCCCTTACTGTCACCGATGGCGTCTACGCTTTGACGGGTAGTGCGACGGCTTCGGCTTCCGGCGTGAAGGTCACTCCTACTGCTTCTACTGGTGCCGCTGCCGGTGCTGCGAAGCCTTTGATCACTGCTGCGCCGTTGGGTGCTGCTGCTCTTGCGGCTTTTGCGGCCATGATCTAGGACTTGAGTCTAGTTTCATGTCTAATGGTTAGCTGGTTGGGGATTGAGTCTCTGGGTCCGTGTACTTGAATGAGCTATGCTATATGTCTACCTAATAATTTACGCAAATCATAGTTCGAATCTAATTTTTTTGGAGCTACAAAATGTTTGAAATTTGATCAAGTATGTATTTGGACCGGGTTGTAAGTTTTCGGCATCTATGCAGTGTTTGCTTGGATGCATTCATATCTATGTCACTGTTTTGCAATAGATAGAGTTTTCAGCTTCGGAAGAAGTTCAAACCAATACTCTCTCTCTCTCTTTATATGTGTGTGTATCAATGCCAAGACATTCAAATAGCACGAATATTCACCGCCCCACGTGGACGACTATCCACTCTGATCGTATATCTTCAAACAACTCTTATTATCATAATCAGATCATACACAATGGCATCAAGAACTGCACTACCTTCGGTGACGACTAGGACTGTCCCACAGCCTGCCCTCAATGGTATGGGCAATGGCCTGTTTGCGACAGCCGACATCAACCCTGGTGAAGATGTTTTGCACATCAGAACCCCATTTGTGGCGGTTCTTGATTCCCCACGTTTAGAGGACACATGTGCTGGCTGCTTCGGAAAGAGACAGATGGAAACTGGAAATGAGTTGAAGGCTTGCACAGGATGTCGTGTCGTGAAGTATTGTGACCGGGTGAGTTGCTATGACGATAGATCGTTTGCTGTTTCATATTTCTCGTCCTACCCAAGATTTTGTGTGATTTGATCGCTTAAGATTCTAATACTTGATTACTAGGCATGTCAATCTAAGGACTGGAAGTTTGCGCATTCTCTTGAATGTCCCATCTTCAAGCAGGTCAAACCTATGGTGCTTCCTAATAATGCCCGCGCTCTCCTACGCATAGTGCTGCGTACTGCGCGTAATAAGTACGATTCTGAAGAGTCCAAGGTCTTTGATGGTTTGGAAACTCACATCAATGAGATTTCGGAGAGCCAAGGCCAGCTTGATAGGATTAACTTGACAGCAAGAGCTGTCAAGAATTACTCAGGGACGGACATCGATGAAGGAACCGTCTCTACTTATGCTGCAAAGGTAATTTTTTTCAGCCTTGCACCTCTTGTCTCGAGCAGAATTTTCATCTAACTATCTTTCTAGTTGGATCTCAACTCCTTCAACCTCACCACCTCCATGTATGACCGCATTGGCCTCTACATGCATCCATATGCTGGGTTGATTAACCACAGCTGCGACTACAATTCCACCGTTGGATTTGACGGTGAAGAACTGTACGTCAAGGCTATGCGTCCCATCAAGAAGGGCGAGCAAATCTTCATCTCCTACATTGACACCACAACACCATACGACATCCGTCGTAACGAACTGAAAGAACGATACTTCTTCGACTGCCAGTGCACAAAGTGCCAGAAGGGAGCGGAAACCATTGAAGACCAGTTCTTGTCTACACCTGAAGACATGACGCCTCTAGAGACAGCAGAGCGCGAAGCCCTGGAGCTCATGCAGAAAGCAACCTCAACTAGCACGGAGCCAGCAGACGCAATCGAGAAGCTGGAAGCTGCTATGCACAAGCTCCATGAAACCGCCCTATGGCCTCTCACCCGCCAGCCATATGCTTCTCTCCGCGACAAGCTGATCATATCTCTACTAACGGCTGGTAACTTCACCCGGGCATTCATCCACGCTGCCATTCGATACCTGCGAATCGACCCTGTTGTCTATGACAAGGCCCACCCCATCCGACACATCCATGCATGGAGCCTGGTTAGGCTTACAGTCTTCATTTCCCAGGAGGGCTTCCAGCCTGACCCCAAAGACCCTGTCCAGCTTCATGACTTCAAGCTGAACTATCACTACTTAATTTGGTACATTCTTGCTGAACTTACTAGCACACAGTCTGAGAGCTGCACCGTGCCCAGCTTTAAGAAGCTTGTTGGAAATCAATTTGTACAGGTTCACAATGAATTCAAGGCCAATGGCCTTGATCCTAGCAAGAACAAGGCTGTTCTGTCCGCTGAGTGGAACAAGCTTGAGCACCTTGTCAACAAGGCTCTAGAGAAAGAGTAAAATACTCTGGGGTCCATTGTTTATTTTACTCAAAATTTGATCAACTACATGGCCAGGCTTACTGGAATAGATCGACCACCTTATATAACAAAAAGTAGTGCCCAGCTCTCTCATCTCTTATGCCCGAAATAGCAGGAACGACCCGAAGTTGATGCCGATTGTACAGTCACTTCACCTGGCCGGTCGACCCTTCCTCTTCCAACTGGCTGGGGACTATATAAACACCCAACCTTTCCTCTTCTCTTTCTCTCTTTCTCTCTTCTTCTTCTTCTCCACGTTCGCCTTCGTTTTTCATTGCCGACAAAGGCAATTCGATACCGCGAACAACTGCCAAAATGAATGCCTTTGAGATGGCTGCCTTGACCAACTGGTCCATGGAGAATGGACCTCCAAGCCATTGCTCAACTGATGAGGTTCGTGCCGCCCCCGAGACCACTAACTTCCCCAACTACGGGGCCAGCCGTCGGGCTGCGTCCCCCCGGATTGCCGCCACTAGGATTCCGGTGATTCCCCCTGGTTATCAGCAGATCCCAGGGTATGAAGCCCACCGTCAGCGACAGGAGGCTCGCGCGCTCATGGGCTCGATTGCGGAGCGCCGGGGAAAGAGCACCCCCGCCCCAATCTTGATCTATGGCGATGCGCCTAGTCCTCTGTCGCGCCGACGACGTTGGTAAGTCGCTCTCATTTCATTTTTACTACTTGCAGCTTTTTCTTGTCTTCACTTTATTTTGTTTTCGGTTTATTCTCACTTTCTTTTTACTTCAAATGTTCTATCTGAAATGAAATCTGTTTTACTTTGTTTGAGTTGGACTCAGCTGACTTTTGATTCTGATAGGGTCCCTGGGTGCCGCTTGTGCTGGTGCCTTTGCCGGAGCCAGAGCTCAGCAGCTAGTCAATGAGCGAACTCGGACTAAGCCTGGGGGAGCTTTCTGCTGGTGCTTTCGGTGAAGATGGTAATGGGGGTTTCTGTAGTATGAGGGATGATTCTTGAGGGGTTGGTTGCCCATTGGTGAGGCTTAATTCTCTCTAATGCAGTCTTCAGTTCTGAATGCTAACATTTTAATATATAGGTACGATTGTTTTTAAATTCTGCTCCCCAGATTTGATCACCGAGTACGAGCTCATCAAGTGGTAAGTCTAATCCTTCCCATCTATTTTTCAGTCTCTGATTGTCAGAGACCAAGGTCGCCTCTTCACCTTGTGGTGTCATCTTCCGATATTGCTAGCCTTCATACGCGAGTGCCCATGCACTATCTCCTCCTTTTGATACCCCGCCCTTTTATACCCTATAGCAGTTCATATGTGGGACCTCCGAGGGCTGTGATGCACTCGCAACGTGTAGCTCGAGAATCAGTTGATCTGTCGACAATTGAGAGGGACTCCGAACACTTTCATCCATATCGACCGCTGTGGATATGACTTACCGCCTACACGACTCCCAGTCGTATGCTGGATCGAGCACCGAAAGTGTTGCTGGGCGCTGTGTTGATCATGGTGTCCAAGCAAATACGGAGCAAGAATGTACTGATGATCGACATTTACCTAGTGGTAAGAGAGCGATGTACGTCTACTGCTACGCCAACGTGCATGGGCTTGTGCCATCGTACCGGCAGATTGCGATTTTCCCAGATGATGTAGAGGAGATCGATCTTACATATGCGGATACGAAATGGCTATTTCGCCTGCTTGGGCAAGGGCGACTTCGGACTGGAGGGAGACTTTCTACCTCCCCTCCCACCAAATATCCGCTTGGATGCAGTCAAGTCTATTGAGTGTGGTCAGAGCAGGAGACCCTACCTGAGGAAATTCTGAGGCCTTTAAACACGACTTCATTGACCCCACCCTCGGCTGCATCCCCTTTCTTTACTTGCCTTTTGACGCCGCAAGAATCTTCTTTTGGTCAAAACGCCAACTCGAGCGCATTGCTACCGCCCCCGTGACCTGTGTCTCTTCTGTCTTGACATGTATTTTGCTGAATAAAAAATATTATTACTGTTTCATCTATCCTGCTCGTAGGTTCTGAATATAAAAAGTGAGGCTACTCTGTTGTATACATTCCATGTTCGGTTTCTACCAACCTTAGTGGGTGGCGAAGCCCTAATTCCTTAGCAAATGTACAGTTGTGCTCTTTTCTAAACTCCCTATAAACACCAGTCGACCATCTTCGACTTCTGAAAAACGAATTTATCTACATGGCCCTCAGAGATAGGCAAGGTTGCCCAGATGAGCTTGATCCTTTTCTCATCTAACATCCCATGTGACAACATTCAAATTTATAATATCATGTCCATCTACCAATATTGATAAATACAAGAATAGAAGGGAAAGAATCAATCATGCATACAAAGCTGCTCATATATACAGTGTACAAAACTCAAGTCATAAAATATATCACATCAGACTTGTTCGACCTCCAATCTCATTGGCAGCCTCGCCGTTAGGCATCTCGCCATTTCGGCCCGCGATAAACTCACGGTAAATTCCCTCGAGACGTCTACGCTCTGCAGGGGGAAGAGAACCACGCGTGGTAGCCAACGAGCGCTCAACATGTTCCCAGCGGACGATGATATCCTCACGCAGCTCGTCTGCATCAGGCTCAGTGCCGTTAGCCACCGGCGCGGCGGCGTTGTTCGCACCAGAAGGTCCCTGCTCAAGCTGGCGCTGGCGGCGGCGCGAGTTCTTAATTGCGTCCAGTTTGGCTGCGATCACTGCCGGGGCTGGCATGGAGACAGACCCGGATGCTTCCTCCGAAGAAGAGTAGAGGAACTGAATGAAGGATTTGCTGGAAGCACTGCCGGTGTTGGACTTGGCACCAGTCTTGGCTGTATCGGTAGAACGGTCACCCAGCGCGCTGTGGACTGCCTCTAGATGGGCGTTATACACGACAGCCTGCAGATCTGCACCAGAGAATCCGTCGGTCTCGGTGGCAATATCACCAAAGCGAGAGATGACTTCGTCACTCATTTTGAGCTTGTCGCTCACTGAGCGGATGATATCAACACGGTCTGCGTGGGTTGGCATGCCACAAAGCAAGGACTTGTCGAGACGGCCAGGACGAAGGAGGGCAGGATCGATCAGGTCCGGCCGTGAAGTTGCTGCCAGCACATAGACGCCCGAGAGGCCCTCCGCGCCGTCCATTTGTGTCAACAGCTGATTGACAACACGGTCCGTAACACCGGTGGAGTCGTGACCACGCTTAGGGGCGATACTGTCAAACTCATCGAAGAAGAGGACGCAAGGGCGAGCGGCTTGGGCTCTCTCGAACAAATCACGAACACTTTTTTCACTGGCTCCGATATATTTGTTCAAAATCTCGGGACCCTTAACACTGATGAAGTTCAATCCACACTCGCCAGCCACTGCGCTGGCCAGCATTGTCTTACCACATCCAGGGAATCCATAAAGAAGCAAACCAGACCGCAGTCGCAGTGGGCACTGTGCGAAGATTGGGGCATATTTTGTAGGATACTGCAAAGTTTCCAACAGCATCTTGCGAGTTTCGAACAAACCACCAACAGAGGAAAATGTGGTTGTTGACGAGGTAAGAGTGACGTTTCGGAGGGATGCTGGAGTGAAGTCCTTCAAGGCACTTTCAAAGTCCTCTAGCCCGAGAGTGATCATCTTTGATGTTGCTGTCAGGTCTGAGACAGAACGAATGAGAGCCTCATTGCGCGCACGAGCAACAAGTAGCACAAGATCACCAGGCATATAGCCATCGGTTTTGCCAGCCAGCTCTAGATACTCGACATCCCTTCCAATAACAAAGCCATCACCCCCGGAAGAGCTTGGTCGGCTCCCCGGATTTGAAGGGTCTAACCAGGAGTCTTGTGTTGAAGAGCTTTCGGCCCTCATATGTCCGTTTGAGTTTTCTGTAGGTTTATCCTCGCTAGTAAGCTTCTCCAAAACCCTTCGGCGCCCTTCCTTGTCAGGGGCTCTCATATTGATGATCTCACGGACAACGTGGCCGCCGATGATAACATTATTGAGGGATTCCTTGGCCTGGGCAGTGGCCAGTAGCACAACAGAGGAGTTCAGCGCGCAATATTCTCGCACCATAGAGCAGATAACCTCGCTGTTCTGGCGACTGCGACCATTATCTCCACCCACTTGCAATTCAGTCTCCGCTGGGCAAAGCTTGTCTAGATCTTCAAGGATAACGACTGACTGGCCACCAAGACGCGCACACCATGATGCGGACATGAAGAGCCGGTTTAGAGTCTCTTTGATGTTGGAGATACGTGTTTCGTCTGTGACGAGCTTGCGACAGGAGAAATACTTAACATTGAAGAGGTGATCTCGTCTTAGGCGATGGGCCAGTAGATGGGTAAGGGCTGTTTTTCCAGCCCCAAGACCACCGGTAAGTAGAATAGACGAGGATTTTGTTAGGTTGTTCAATGACTGCTCAATGATAGAATCAATCCCTACCAAGTGAGGAGCAGTTTCTGGGAGAGGGTCTTCCATAGGTAGCACAGATGAACTAAGGTCAAATGGCTTAGGGATTTCAGCTTGGATTTCCAGGTTCAGCTTAGCTTCTGAGCCCAGTAACCACCCGAACATTGACTTTGTTTCGTCTGGAGCGCCCTTCAAGGGGGGATCAAAGCGAAGGATGGCACCATCGAACGAAGAGACTGAAGGATGATACTCGGATTTGGGTATGATCATTCCATCAGTCAATGGCCCCGAGAACAGCCCGGTGTCGGACCCAGTGCTGCCGTAGATAACTTTGAGGCGCTCGGCCAGGGCATCCCGAGATGCCGCAGTGTCAGCGCCGAACTTCAGCCCGTCCTTCTTCTTTGAAGCATCGCCTATGAAAGGATAGACCTTGAGGGTCTTGACTGCGGAGCGATGTAGCTGTGGGGGTGCTGCTTCGACTCGGAGGATTCCTCCAACCATGTTCTCCGCACCAAGGGCCGTGCATAACAAGGTGGACATCGCCGCATGCCGATTGTCCGGAGCCTCCTCCCACGGAAGTAACTTAGCCACAAGCTTGGTTGTAGTGGCACCGGCATCATTGGACTTTTGCTGTTCAGCCTGAGCAAGTTGCTGCTGGGGATCTGCTGGGGGTTTGAGCCCGGATGGCTGGACAACTGACACACAAGCCCAAGTGGCTCCGCGCAGCTCATGACTAGCCAGTAGGTCCTGATCAACCCAAATACGGAGGCCCTCATTTGCATCATCTTCTATTTCTCCATCAAAATATTGAGCCGTCGCTGAACGGTCCACGCCTCTCAAGTAGAGGGAGCCTCGTGTGCTGGAGCCACTTTTCGGGCGTACGGTGCTTGAAGCACTCCTGCCCCCAGCACTTTTTCTACTGCTACCAGCTGCACTGCGACTATCCGCTCGAGAGCTTTTGGTTGTCTTGGATCGAACTTTCGGGGCCACTATGACCTCTGCATCCGGCGCGATCTTGGCGAAGGGGAGGCGTCCGAGGGAGCGGGTGTAAGAGAAGTGACGACAATATTGGCGGTAGATGTGGGAGAGAGATGCAATGCAAGTGGGTGCATGTGCACCGATTGCGCTGCATTGTATGTAGGATTGGGTAAAGCGCGAATTTGTGACAAGAGGTTAAGTTCCAGGAATGTGGCGTGGAGTTCAATGACTAGTGTCTAGTTAGCGCCATTTCAATTATAGCTGTTTATGATTTAAACGTACTCTCCCAGTCTTCTGGTGTCAATGGCTCAATGTTTATCGTATGTGCAACGGGTGGATCGAGGTGGATGAACAATCCGACCTGCAAGTGTTAGCGCCCCACGTGGGTAATGACGCACGGAGAGTGTTGTATACCTTCTGTCCTTCTGTAAGACCAAGGAGTCTTCCGAAAGTAGTATCAAGCTCGACGGTGGAGGTTTCCTGTTCCCTTGAATATCCACTATTGATGCCCTCTCTCCCAACGATAGGCGCAAGCCTGCGCTTGCTCGGCATACCCGTCCAACCGAGGAAGCATGATTGTTGCGGAGAAGCTCCATTGGCCTTTCCGGGGGTCGATTTATATTGTAATTCGATAATAACATTTTGGGCAGTCTGGTATAGCTAGATGTTAGCCGGAAATACCCCACAGAAACATAACGACTAGTAGACTGACCGTGTTTGCATTGACCAGCAGAGCGACCAGCGACGGCGGTAGATTAACAAGACAGTTCTTCAGGGGAATGAGGGCGACTTCCGCCGTCGCAGCAGGCTTCTTGGGCGCCATTTTGAAGCACTAAACGATCGTGAACACTGAAAAGACAAGGAGGAGGGGAATCGTGAACTCGGAGAGACACGACCCCGGACTCCGCACTACATCTCTCTTTCGCCTCGGCCCGATGACGAGTCATGTGACACGTACCTCGATATCCGGATTAACTTATCCTCCGTGGTAATTGATACCTTTCCTAATCCGGTTAGTGGCATTTGTGGGCGCGTGTTGACCTCGCGTTCGCGTTTTACCAGCGAATTTGGTAGAGGCTCGGATAGCCACTAGACCCTCTTCTCTATTTCTCTCCCGATCCCACTATCGATTCTTTGCGCTTTCAATTGAGCGCACTTTGTTATTATGTCTCTCCTTCAATACCCCCCACCTGTGGATTATTCCGCACAACTGAATGGCTTCAAGGATTTCTTGAAGGGGTTCAAGACCTTCCAATCGTCCTCAGAAGCCGCTGCGACCGAGGCGTTGGAGGATCTGAACATCGATGACGGCCAGACTAGCGATGAATATGATTTCATGGATGATGCCGATGAGACGACTGGGGCAAACACCCGTGGAGCAAGGAGGCACCGGGAGCCGAAG